GGCGGCGGCGGCGGCTGCGGCGGTGGCAGTGCCATCTCCCGGCCGCCGAGACAACTACGCGTCGTCGCGGAAGCACGCCGCGGCAGGGCGCGAACGACGCCGCGGCGATAAGGGATTGATTCGGGGTCCGTAAAAATGTCGGGCGGGGATTCTTCGCGCCTTGCATCTCGGCAGTGGGGATCGCGACGAGACGGCGAAGACTGACACTCGAGGGGGCGGTCAACCGCTCGCTCGGAAAGAGGAACGTTCTCCTCTCCGCTCTCACACATTGACAGTAAATGCCAATAAACCAAGAAGATCATGATTCACTCACCCATAATGTAACATTTACCGCACCTTCACGAAAAGCATTTCGGTACACCAAAATAATTTTACTCTTTCAATAAAGAAAAATTAAGGTGTAAGCACCGTGAGCTCAATTATTAACACATGAAATACATTATACAGGAACCAATTATACACTGTGTTATAACTCACGACGAAGTGATTTAAAAAAGATATAGAGAGTACGATTTCACAAATAAAAGCAATGATTCTATTTTTATATGTAATTAGTTTTGTTGAGTAATGGTAGCTAATCCATATAAATGCATTCAATGAAAGAAACAAACAAGAGTCTCTAAAAATATTACGTAATATCTCAGATACCCGAATACTTCCATTCCATTCCATTCCAAACGACACCTGTAGTTGTAAATATTCAGTTGCTCAAAAACGACCAATAAACCTTCAACATTTGATTGCAACATCACGACAAAGATGTGACAGCGATTTACGTGTCGCTTTGTCATGAATGAATCACTGCGAGTACCAGCGAGTGCCCGTAACACTTGAGCAGGCAGCAATCGAATGTGCCTAGGCAAATTAAGACGCCGCACTTCCTATATGTTTACGGTCGCATAATGAGTGCCATACCTGTGCTAGTAAAAGGGCAGTAAACGGGCGACGGGTGACAACTTCACAGGTTTACGTCCTCACGGAACTCACCTACCTTCGGTGCACCACAGAAAGCTTCTCCGATACATTCAAGTGATTTTAAGACTCGTGCCTATGCAAGCAATGAACACGTTACTCATAATTCTTTCTCGAAACAGAAGCACATAAATTGTATTCACACTTGAAAGTAATAATGTGTATCATATGTATCAAGCATGCTTTTTATGAATGAGGAAATTGAAAAAACAATAATTTTGTAACCAACACTCTCTGTCACTGCACTCGTAAGTACTGATGGCAGAAATACATTTTAATTTGAATTCTTTTTTAGTTTAAAATAATGCTGACGTGTAATTAATTGTGATTCGCAACGATAATACATTATTTTCGCTGATTGCGTGGATACGCTTTTTTAAAGAACTGTATCAATAAAGTAGACGTTCAGAGTTCGGTTAATTGCTCGAAAAAGATTACTTTGAGGTAAGTACTTGGAAGTACGTTTAAATAAACTTCTAACGTAAGCGAGGCTTTTTGTGTATCGTTTCCAAGTTCATTGACCATGAAAGTGATTGTGAATGATACAAAAACAGATACTATGAAAAGTTTTCCAAGAATCAATTAGAAAGTATCCACCTTTTCCATTTGTTGCCCCAACATTCTGCGTTCAAATATGCCAAATAATTTCTTTGTAGATCATTGAAAAGAAACAATAAATGCACAACATGCCTTTCAAAATTACTCAGACAGTGCAAAGTGTGGTGATTTAGATAAAAAAGAACGTTGGTATTAAACAAAATGATTCTGCTTGTGGGGGTCAGACTTTTGTTTACACGCTCGAGATTCATTCCGCCAGTGTCTGAAAGTGATATACCATGCCTTGCACCCATCGAGTGCAAAACCCCATAAAAACGAATGATTCATCTGCGAGGAAGCGCACTGAAGGTTTCAGGTGGTGGTGGCCAGGCGGGCCGCCCCCTCGCCCGGGCGTCGGCGACGGTGGTGGAAGCGGAGGCGTCGGCGTCGCGACGCCCGTGCCGGCCGCCGGGTGGTCTCCGCGCGCTTAGTATGCCGCAGCGGCCGCAGCCACTCACCGCCAGACGTCGGACGGAGTCGCCAGCGACGGCGCGAGCGCGCACGCGGACGCGGCCGCGTGGCCGCCACGCAGCGCCCAGCCCCGCCGCCGACCTGGAAGCAAACGCTCTCCTCAGCGCCTCTCCGGCGACCGCGTTCCGCTCCGCAGCGCTCCGCGGCGAATCAATGGCCCCCGACGCTTCGGCTCGATTTACGACCCCCCACATTCCCAGCACAAAAACAATGGGGAATACAAATCGACTCTTTGCATAATTGCACAATAAATGCTCGGAATGCACGATTTCAAAGAATACGTTGTTTGGTCTCTGAATATTTACGCGTTTTTACGAATAAGGAAAATATTGCAAGGGAAGCATCTTTTCAAAGTAATTACAACCAACAGGTCGTTTTATAGCTCATTCATGTCAAATAAATGAATATTCATTCTCAATCCTTTCTTTGGTTAATTTTCAGCGCTCAGGACAATAACAGTCTAGTACTGCAAAGAAAATTTTACAGATAAAAATCCGAGTATAATAATAATAATAATAATAATAATAATAATAATGCTAATAATAATAATGCTAATAATAATAATCTATAAATATAGTTATTATTATTTTTTTATTATCTGTATAAATACATTTCATTCTGAAAAATAAATTCCTTAGACCGGGAATTTAAAACGATTATGTTATTATTCATCCATGAAATAGGAAGCAAAAAAAAAAAAAAAAGAAAAATACTTATCTTATTTATTCCCTATATTGAATTTTCAGAGGGTGTTGCTGACTCAGCTAGATTCCCCTTTACCTACTCGCACTTAGTCCTGTCCTTTACATTTTCTTAACTTCTGAGTATCAAAAAGTCTTGTTTTAGGGTGTCAAAACTGGTCGTAAAGCAGAAAAAGAGAAACTAAATGGTGACTACCGCGTGGCTAATACCATTACCCAGATGTATATATAAAGAAATTAACCCCACCCACATCTAAGAGGATGAGAAAAATAAAAATACGGGTATGTGTTACGGGTATTATGTGTTTCCCAATGAGATACTCTTTTTCAATATTGGCATCATTTTCGATGCTACTTGTAAAAGAGATACCTTCCATTAACCCTTTCGATGCAAGAAGGGGCAAAGCAATGCAGACGCTATGACCTCTAATAATATACAAACATATCTAGAGAGTAAAGCATATTGTTGGAGAAATCCATATATACTGTAGTTATCATTGACGTGACGTGAATATATTCAAATGAAGACGATATCGGTAACAGTATAATTAACATCTAATTAAACAACATTGGAGAGTCAAAAATCAATATCCGTAGTAAAAGTGAGAGCATATAATATCAAAATATCCTATCGCAACTGAAATGAAAATAATATCACTCTAATTAGAATTTCTGGGTCAGTTTTAGAAGTATAAGTAGTATTCTTAGAAGTGAAGAATGTGCAGCAACGTGAGGACAAAATTTATTTACCATCCAACCGTTCTCCCTCAACATTTATTAAGTAAAAAAATCATCTTCTGAATTAAATATTAAAACAAGTAATATCTGCTAATGTTTACGTCACGTGAATATTGTAATACAAGTAACTGTAATACTTGTAAATGCTTGAATGCTAAATGAAAAAGGTTGCGCATAGGTACTGCACAAGAAGAGGGAAGAAGACGCCCCGAAGTAAATGTAGGTAAGAAGTTAAGAGGATTCCAAAAATCACACTGAGATACTTCTAATTACACAATATTCAACGAATGGATTGGAAATATACATATTAACAACGTGACAGGCTAGTCAAAAAAATTATGTTTTTGTAATTTTCGAAAATGCAAAAGATTAGAACAATATAGTGTTTTTGTCATCATATAGAGTACATTTATCACTATCCCTACCAAAAGTTTAAAGAAATATTTGGGTTTTTTGAGAAAATATTCTTTTAGCCTCATATTTTTTTATGTTGAATACGAATGCAAGTATACTTTTAGATGTTTCCTATACGATATGCCATTTTTTGACAAAAAATTAACATTTGTTCTCATTCCGGCTTTAGAATAAAAAGTGATCAATTTTCGAGCACCTGGAATATCTTCTGAATCCAACAATGTTCTTCAGATCAGCATACTTATCAGTAACTTCATATATCTTGGTTGACTACCTCAAACAGATCGGTTATCACTTTGGGTTATTGTTCTACTTATAACACAAGTATATGGATCTGATCAGTATGAAACATGTTGGAAAACAGATGTGAAATGCAGATATTTAAATGTATATTTTGTTTGAAATGCAATTCCCTCCAAAAAAACAAACAGTCAATTTAATGATTCTTGGATTTCTTCCAAACCACGGAAAATATTTTATGATGTGTACTGATTTCCACTCAGAAAACAGCATAGAACATGAAATGCAGCTCATATTTGAGTCTCAGCTCACATCAATATCACCAACTTGACAGCCTCAGGAACGTTTAGTACATTGTTTTACAAGCTGCGTAAACGTTCGCTTTTGAGACATGAAGATCAATTCACCACCGTGAAATTAATGGGATGATTTTAACACTTTCTTGTTATGATGAGAAAGAAAACAACTACAAGTATACATAAAACACTTTCATGTGCTCATCGTTAAAAGAGTTTGTGGTATGTGGTGAGTAGAACTATATGCGCACATTCCTTTGAATTATGAAACTAATATTCTCTTTCTTTTACTACACTTATTTAATTATAAATTTAAAATAAAAATTAAGTTGGCAGCGAGCTATTTGATAACGTCTGATAACAATAAATGTTCGCTCCTGCATAACTTAACTTCTGAACTGAAAGGTAGAAATATTTCTATAGTGATTTTCGTGCAAACAGTCTCACAGCTGTTCAATGTTGACAAACTAGTATGGAAGATTGATAGGTATGAACAGGTAAAAAATATTAATTAACCAGCAAAGTATTATCGTTTGGTGCAATAGCAATATAAATCATACACTTTCTCAAAAACATTTTGCATGAAACCGCTTCATAGCCAACAAGTTAAAGCTTTCTACGGAAGGTTTGAAAATAACACTAAAATCCTGTTATAAAAAGCAGTCACGAGGGAATCAAATGCAGAAGGCTTGAAGGGAAAATTGTGATTTCATGAATGAAAAAGTCCCGGATTCACGTTAATAAAAATTGCACAATTGACCCTAAAAATCATGTTGATTACTGTATTGTAAACATAAGCGAAAATGCTCAAGTACTTGCTTACAAGTTAAGTGTGTGAAAGAAGTCTGAATACGAAAGATGATTTAAATAGTTTGATATCACAGTAACTTTTTACAATTCAACTTAGAGAAATAGCAAACAACCCATGACATATTACATCCAAATTTTCCAAAGATATGCCCAAACCTCTAAAATAATTTTCTTTATAAACATTATTAATATATAAATGAATGCTGACCTGGGTATCCGCGGTGGCTAGAGCGTGTTCCGACTCAGCCCCTCGGTCTGCAAGGTCGCGGATTCGTGTCCCGCCGAGGGCATGATTGCTTGTCCTTTGTCTTTCACTTATGTGTGTTGTTGCGGAAGGCCTTGTGAGTCTGCAATTCACAGACCGAGAAGCCTGCAAGTGTGTGTCAAGTGCAAAGGTTAATATGTATTACCATGAAGGTCATAGTAGGTATCCAACGCGGATAGTCGAAATCAACGTCTCCTTAAGTTGGAAAAAGACCCAGGCAGAAAAAATATACTGAATACATCCAAGTTCCCTAAAATTATGCTTTCGACCTTTTCCATTTTTTCTTTATATTTACCACTTACCCTCCAGTTTATACACCGAATTAAAAAGAATAAAAAAATCTCTAATATTATCTAAAAAAAACTAATTTAAATTAGGTTACAGTTAACGACCATCAATTTATTTCCCAAATGCAAAAAGGCATGTCTAGAGTGTGTAAGAGGAAATCGTTGCGGCTCCTCACGTCGAAAGAGAAAAAAATAAATTTAACACAATTCAACCGTGTACTTGTTTATTTGAACCTCTGCTTATTTACTTGTCTATTTCCGATCTGTTCAAAATAATTCCTCTCACTACACGTTGATGGTTTAAAACATTTAAACTCCACTGAACTTTACTCTTCTGATTTTAATTGATTTCTCGTATTTAAAATTCATTTTTTACTTCATTCCAGTTATTCATTTATTCATGGTATTTATTCTTTCATTAACTATAGCGATATAATTAAACAGTTTAAAAAAATTAAGTGTACGAAAATTACCACAAGAAAGAAATTTACAGCTCCTAATATATTTCTTGGATTCACGGTCATTCCAGTACCAAGATTTCAGAACCATCAGTACTTAGAAGTGCAAGTACACTCAAGCTTCTAATATAAACATTACTGCAAACATTTTTAGCCAAAAAGACGTGCACAGTACTTCACTAAAACCAACAAGTAGAATTATGAATACAATAACTCTAGAATACAAAAAATTCAAAGCAATTTTTTGTTTCAAACCGCACTCGTTTAAGCAAAAGCCAAAGTGTCTCTATTCTCAAGGCGACTTCATCCCCCCAAAATCTTCACGGAGACTTTTTTTCCCGACGCGCCGAAACGAGAAGGAATAAATCAGTTATCTCAAGCACCGGCGCGGATTTTTCTTCCGCCTTCCGCCCCATCAACTCGCAGCGCCGGCTTGATCCTGCGGCGGGGGCGGCGGCAGGGGGCGCGTCGCCCTTCCGGCAGCGCGGGTCAGGATAACGTATTTCTAAGTAGGGCGCATATCCTGCTCGTTTCCAGGAAACTCTGCGTCTCGGGGTCCACATCTGGAGGGAGGACGTCGTCCTCGAGCGACGATAACGTATTTCTAAGTGGAGCGCGCGCCGTCCGGCGATGCGCGGGGCGATACGGCAGAAGGGGCAGCGCAGGCGGAGAGGAGAAAGGAGGCGGCAGGAGAAGCAGAGCGAAGGCGACGAGAGCGACGACGGCGGAGGCCCTTGAAGCGAAAGAGGCAGAAGGGTGGTAGCAGTTGAGATGGTGTTGCGTATGTTGTAGCTCAAATAACAATGATATTAGGGGCTATGAAGACGAAAAGTGGCGAAAAAGCAACTGTAAATCTTTTGTGAAGAAATGGG